TCCTTCAGCTATTCGTGTGTGTGCACGCTCTTGTGGCAGTACATACAGCCACTGGAGACAACAGGAATTTTCGCTTCAGCAGTACCAGAAGAATCTGTTTGTAAAGCCTTCCTCAGATGTGTGCAGCAGTGCACACCCCATGTGCACACCATGAGACTGTTGCTGAGGTTGAATCAATATTTCTCGTCCTGTCTTTTTGTGAGTGCATCATTACAGATTTCCTTTGGACTCAGTCTTGAATCATAGAATCATGGAATATCCTGAATTGTAAGGGAGCCACAAGGATCATTGAGTCCAACTCTTGGGTCCCCATAGGACCGCCCAAAAAATCAGACCATGTGTCTGAGAGCATTGTCCATCGTCCAGTGGATTTTCTTCCTTTCTTTCCCAAAGCTTCTGCCCATTTTGTCCCTAAAGTCAGCGCTACTTCTGTGTTTTAAATTCTGCGCTGATAGTTGCCACTTTTCTTCATATATTTGATGCCTGGTTTCTGGATTGGCCTGGGAATATCTCCATCCGTGCTCAGTCTGTATCAAGAGTCCAGCCCTGAGCAGAAAGAAATCATCATCCCCCAAAGTACTCGGCTCTTCATTCAGCCCAGCAGCCAGAGGCTTGTGCAGGTCTCCAGGTCCTGTTTGAGACCCGTGAAGGCATCATGTCCATGCATGAAAAAAATGGCCACCTGATGGGCATCGTGGCCTCAGAGCGATCTCCCAAGAAATCATCCAAAAAGAAGTCTGATTCTTTCTTTCCTCATTGGGACACAAACTTTGAGGGTTTCGTTCCAGCCCCTGCAAGACTACACGTGCAGTATGCATGCAAGTACAGCTTACACCTCTTGATCTTCCACCTGTGTTTTGGTAGATGCTGCGTTAATGAAAAAGGCGTAGTGCTTCGTGTTTTTTGGCAAGTGTCGGTGGGCCAGCTGAGCTGCTCTTCAGCCTGCGCTGCTGGGGACAGTGTCCGGTTTCAGTCCTTGCTACCTGTGACTCAGGATTATCTTCCAGACACACTAGAGTCCTGTCATTTGTAATTTTAATGAGGTACAACCACAACAGATGTGTTTTTCAGTTTGTTTTTCTCCTCCCAGCTCTTTCACGTTGTTCAAGACTTGTCTGCTTGGGATGTGAATGCTCCTGTCCTTGGTGGAGACCTGTGTCCTCCTCTCCATCTTTCAGTGAAAATCAGAAGGAGTGAAGAAATGTCTTCCAGAAGAATTTCTGCGTTTTTTTTTCCTATTAAGGTCACTCTTGAGACTTGACAATTTCCTGCCATAAGCCTCAAACTGGGGCTGCTGTTTCTCCCAACTGGTGGTGGGCCAGCAGAGAGGCTGTGCCTCTCCCAGAACCAGGGCAGCTTTGGCATCTGCGGGCTGCAGCCCTGCAGTCACACTCCCAGCAGACAGGCACGGACAGCCCACATGTGTTTTGCTTCCCGTGAAGGTGATTCTGTAGTCTTTGCAACCGAAAACTTTCAGATCCTCTTTCAGCTATTGGGTGCTGTAGGGTGTGTTGCTTGGGGTCGCTGGACATGGTGGTGTGGCCATGCATGAAGCAGTGACAGCAGGGAGGCACAGCACTGCCCCGAAGCTGCTGTCCCTTCAGCTGTATTTTCTGTGCATGCAGTCACGAGCTTTTCTTGAAATCACTAAGATTTCCAGGAACTGTGTCATTGCGAGGATGAGGGACGTTCCCAGCCTCTCTGCTCTGGTGGTTGCAGTATGCAAATAGGCACGGTCCATCTGCATGCCCAGCGGTTGAAAAAAAAAAAAAGATTAAAGTGCTTGGGTACTTATTCTAAGAATACAAAATATAGGTGACGTGTCTCAAAGATGAGTGGCAGTGGAAAAAAGATTGCCCTGACTCCCCCAGAGGCTTGATGTACGTGGAGATGCCTGGGTGCTGCGCCTTGGCCTTTGCTGCCAGCCCATCAGCGTGGGAGCTCCGGGGGCTCAAGGGCTCTTTTGGTCCAAGGCAAGAGCACATCTGTGCAGATGCTCTGGGCCAAACGTGGAGAAGTGTGGAGCTGGCCACGCAGGCTGGAATTTGCCTTCAGGCTTGGGCAGTGGTAAAGTCTTACTCTATTAATCGCACTCTTGTTTTTCCAAATAACAACATCTCTAGCAGGCTTTCCATTTTTAATCCCTCTCACCTGCCAACATTAAGTTGGCCTCTGGGGTTTGATAGGGATGTGTGCTGAGGTTCCGTAATGGCGAGGTGGGACCTGGGGACCAAATTTCCACACAGTGCAATTCCTCCTACCTCCTCCACCAGCCTCCTGCCAGGGAAAGGTGAGTTCCAGCTCACTGGTTGCTGTGCTGATGCTGGGCTGCATCCTGCTCCTTGCTCTCAGTGGGTGCGTGGTCTTTGTGCCTCATCTGATCATCCATCCAGGTGGGCAGGAGCCCACCGAGGGCAGGAGCCATGGGGCCGAGCAGCCACTGCCACCAGCAGAGCCACGCACGCAGCTAACACCATTCCGTGCAGACTCAGTGTTTCTGTACACGTGCAGGTCTTTTTTTATGGATTTTATTTCAGATTTTGGTGCAGGGGAGTGAAGCTGACGGTGTTGCGCATGCATTTCCTTTATCTGCTAACAATTTCATCTTGCAAAGACAATCTCCCCCCTGCAGCCATCTCCCCTGCAGGCGCCAGCGTCACAAGAATATTTCGCTCACTTCTTTAACTCCCCGCGTTATTAATGCAGTTTCAAAGCAACAGCTTCATGCACGGGTGGATTTCCGTGTTGTGCTTTACGAGAATGCCAGCTTCAGGCCCTGGCCGTCCTGGTGCTGCTGCGGGAAGCCGGGTGCCGGGGCGGCGGCGGTGCCACCAGCACGCACCACCGGCTGCCGGGTTGCCCCGGTAACTGGTGAACGTCAACGGGAGCAAACGATGCACGGGACAGAGAAAAAGGAGACAAACAGAACGGCACAAGCCAAACAGGGATTTAATCAGGGGCTGTACGGTTTTAGTGTCCTTAACATGTGATTTTTTTTTTTTATGGGCAGCTTTCCCCTAATCAAAGGCAGCACGGCTTTCATATAAATACAGTCACAGATTGTAAATCATGGCTAGCAAAGCATGGCAGACCTGATCGCTGATAGTGTCGCAATAGAGCAGGAGGGAGTGGAGACTGCTGGAAGACAGAAATCGCTGCAGAGAATGACCACGTTATAGAACCATGGAATGGTTTGGGCTGGCAGGGCCCTCAGAGCCCCCTCAGTGCCACCCCCTGCCATGGGCACGACCCCTGCCCCCAGCCCAGCCTGCCCCCAGCCCCAGTCCAGCCTGGCCTTGGGCACCCCCAGCTCCTGGGGCAGCCCTGCACCAGGCCTCACTGCCCTCAGAGGGAAGGATTTCCTCACATTTAACCTAAACCTGCCCTCTTTCAGCCATCAACAACATGTAACAGGTCACGTACAGCATATAACAGGTTATTAACTGGTACATGCTCTGTGGAAGGGCGATGTCCTGCTCTGCTGGGGCAGTGGGGTTGGCACTGAGGAGCTCCTGGAGGTGCCACGGAGCACCCAAGTTGCTGCTCTCCTTGACAAATATCTCTGGGGCTCTGGCATGACACAAGTGCATCAGGGAGGTTACTGTTTTGTACGCACAGAGCCAACAAGTGTGTGCCCTTTGTATTTACCTTCTCCTCACGAGTCCTTCAGCCCCTCCTTGCTCATCACCACAGTGACTGACTCCAGGCTTTGCTCTGGAGGCTTTGCTGTGGCAGCATTATCCCTGAAGCCAGGGAGTTTTGCCCAAGTGAACATTATAGCATCTTTCTATGAGCCTTCAAACCTTTTTCATGGGGAAAAAAAAATATATTTCTTTGATGTTTGCTATGAAATTGTACATTCTGTGAGTGCACATTAAATTCTGGGCCCCCCTCAGCACAGAGAGAGCTGGGCCCAGCAGGGAGAGCCCAGGCCGTGCCCTGGGGGTGCTGCCAGGCCCAGAGCCCCCGTGCTGTGAGGAGAGGCTGCGAGAGCTGGGGCTGCTGGGCCTGGAGCAGAGGAGGCTCCGGGGGAGCTCCCCCATGGCCGTCAGTACCCGCAGGGAGGTGCGGAGAGGCCGGAGCCGGGCTCTGCTCAGCGCTGCCCAGGGCCAGGCCCAGAGGCTCCCCCTGCCCCTCAGGCAGCACTGCTGGGCCCAGGGGTGCCCCGAGAGGGGCCGGGGGCTGCTCCTGGGAGAGCTCCCCGAGCCCAGGACAAGGGGCTGGGCACCCTGCTGGGGCAGGGGGGGACAGGGAACCCAGGGGCTTTCCAAGCCCCAGTCATCCCATGGGGCTGGGAAAGCCCCTTGGGACCATCCCTGCCATCTGTGTTGCAGAGCCACTCACGAGGATCCCAGCAGCACTGCAGAGTCCAAAGTAGCTTTGGCCAGTCTGGCTGTTAAAGTCTGACCAGAGAAAGATGTCATTTTTTATTTTTTTTTAATGACTTTAGGCACATAGGTGAACTTCCTGTGCAAATATTAATAAATCACTCGCATGGCACTTGTGGGTTTGGTCAGCCACTCGTCACACATTTGCTGTTTGCTTTCTGAACGTTATCTGCACCTTGCAAAGCCGTGCTCTCACCGTTCTTTCAATAGGTTGCCCAACTTCTTGTCTTTGTTTCATCTAACAGTGGACATCTGGGGGCTTGTCCATAGCAAATGTTGGTTCCTGACCCTGCAGCAGGGCAGGGATGGTCCTTCAGCAGCACCTCGCTGCCACCACAGAGAGTTGTCACTGCTGCCTGCAGGAGAGCAGGTGCAGAACCACCCAGGGTAGGCAGCCTGGCACATGGTGCCACCACCTTGGGTCCCCCAGCTGCATGGGGAGGGATCCAGCACCTGACAGTCATCCCTCACATCACTCAACCCGAAGGTGTTTTGGTGAAGCGTCTTCCCTGATGCATGCTTTTTTCTTGTATTTTTACAGGGTTATTTTTAGACATTGACCAAAAAAAAAAGTTTAAAATTTGGAAACTGTGTCTGGTGTTTCCCATGCAGGCACAAGCAGCAGGCTCGGCACACTCGTCACCCACCCACGGAGCCAGGCCGCCCCATGCCCATGCCCGTCAGATCCACCTCCGCCGGCTCTACCCCAACGCACGTCCCCCAGGACTCGCTGGCAGGTGTCGGGGGGGACGTGCAGGAAGCTTTCACGCAAGGTGAGCATCACTCAGAGCACAGCCACACCAGGGGGACAGTCCTGTTGTCACCACACGCGATGCAAACCTAACTTGCCGGTCCTGAGACAGTAGTCACGAGTCCCTTTCCTCTGCTTTAGGCCAAATATATTGGGGGCAAGTTTCTAATCTTTACAATTTAATGAAGTTATTTCTGTGAGCGTGATCTGCCCTCCAGGGAAGGGCTCTTCCATCCCAGAAAGTTATGCCCACAAGTAATTTAATGGGTAGACATCAAAAACTGATCAGATTTGCACATCCGCTGGTTGAACTGCTCTAGGATTTGTGAGAAAAGTTGAAGGGAAAAGGCAGTTAATGACTGAAACGCAGAGAAAGCAAGCAGCCCTCCTCCCAGAGGGTTCGGCTCAGAGTTTCTCACCTGGCTGCTCGTTATGAAGCACAAAAGAAGCTGCCATTCTGCAGCAGCATTCGGTGAGGACTGTTCCTGGCAGAGCAGTCGGCTGCTGTGCACATCTGCCATCCGGCACGCTGCCTGCCACGGGCACAGCAGTGCAGCAGCCCTGGGGGGGAGAAGGGAAAAACTGCTGAATATGGGGAAACGGAACAGAGAAGGGAAGTGTGGGGGGAGGCATAATGAAGAAGCAGAAGGACACAGATGCCTTGCAAAAATAATGGTTGGACTTGATGATCTTGAAGGTCTTTTCCAACCTAGTAGGTTCTGTATTTCTGTGACTGTGCTTTCCCTTGCTCCCATTCCCCAGTTCTTGCCAAGAATCAGAGTTCCTTGTTCCTTTGCACCTTCTCTAGATGTTATGCCCCGTGCATTTGAAAAAAACTGCCACTTTTAGGCCTAAACTCACTGTTGCCAACTGCTCTGTACATAGATATAAGAAATGCTGGGTTATCCGGCTGTTTCAGCTCTATTCCCCTCCTAGTAAGGTCTCTTCCATTTCTGTGGTAAAATCAATGTGGTTGGATCAAATGTCCATTTGCAAATAATACAGTTTATAGTGCTTTGAAGAAAACCAGGGCAGCAGTTAACATACATATTTTTATTCCCCAACTTCTGTAGGTAGTGTGAGTTTATACTTAGCTGCTGTTGCTTTTTACAAAAAAATTTAAAAAAAAAAAACAACATTCTGCAGTCACGCATTTCAAAAGTTAAACTTCTACATGTCAAAGCCATTGTCGGCTCAAGAAGTGCTTTGGAATCTGAAGACAACTAGATGAAACAGAAACGTTCCACTCAATCCAGATCTCTGCCTCTTCCTCACCTACTGGAGAGGAGGAAGAACGGAAGCTCCATCCTCGGGGAATGTTGGAAGAAGGCAAGCAAAGACATGACTGTCGGTCTGATCTCAAGAAATTTGGCAAATAAGAGATTTTTACCTTCAGGGAGCCATCTCTGCAAAGGAGTAAATTAGTTGTTTTTCGGTCCTGCCTTCTTCAACTCTGCTCATAGCAAAAGAAATCATTCCCAGTAGGAATGGGTGCCCGTATTTTGTATTTCTCGGGGGTGGAGTCACTTAGGTTTCGTGTGCTCTCTTCCTTTCTTTTGCCCGTTTTGGTCCAGGACTCTTTATCTGTAACAATCCAGAAGCAGCCTGGAACGTAGAGCTCTGAGAAGGAGGTCCAGGACCTGATCTCCCCGGGTGCCTTTGACAGACACGGGGTTTGCTTCTGAATCACTGGGCCCTGAGAAACTCTGGTACAGTTTTGTCATGGGAAAGAATATCCATCTGGATGCATGCAGAAGATATGTTTTATTTTATTTTATTTATATGAGTAGCAACTTCTGCACTTCACTCTATGGACTTCTCATGCTGTAGCCTGGCCTCTCTGTTGACTGAACACCTAAATCCTATTTTCAAGTAGACCTGCCCCAACCACGTTTCTGGAGACTGACACCCCCATATCTATTTTATAATTCACTTGTTGACTATCAAAGGACAGAAAATCCACATCTCTCTAATGTGCTGGCAAGGACTTCAGAAGTTTGTGGGTAGAGACACCCAAAGGGCAGCAACTCTTCCCATGGACCTCTTGGTACTCCATGAGAAACCCCATGAGATATTTGACATCTTAGAGCCAATAGTGCCAGGGTGCTGTAGACTTTCTAACATCTTGGTTCTCTGCATTAAGCAAGAGTGCTCTGCATCTTCCAGAGGCCGAGCTGCTTATTTCCATAAAAAAATGACAACGTGGATCATATGCTACCACAAACTGGAGGTGGTGTCTTCTCATTCATGAGAATATTTCTTGCTGGATAGGGAAGGTGGTGAATATTAATGTCAAATACTTTTGTCGGATGTTCTCCTTTTTGAAATAAAGAACCCATTTAAATAAACTTCCCAGAACTGATGGTATACCTCAGAACCAAACAGATTGTAAAGAACAATTTGCATTTCTGGTTGCAGATTGGAAATAACCTTCTGTAACAGTCTTCTTCCTTGCCTAAATGAGCTGCTGCCGGAAGAAGGCAAGGAGGAGCAGGAAGTAGCAGCAAATCCTTTTAATTGGTGTTTAATCCCTGGAGTGCTACAGCAAGGACTGCAAGCCTTCAGCTCCCAGCGTACTTGGTAAAATGAAAGCCTCTGTTAATTGTTCTCCACAATTTCAGCCAGTGAGCAGGTCAGATGGTGGAGGAAGTCCAGTATGAAAGCCCTGACTATCTACAACTCATCTATGAGAAGGATGTGCCTTTTTCCGATCCCATCAGTAGGAACAAGCTCCTCATCTCTCTAAACACTTCCAGAAACGACAGCAGAAGCAGGCATTTCCAGGGAGGCATGATGCCAAATACCAGAGGCACAACACTCCATCTGTTGCTGTGGGTGGTCCAGTCGCCTCCTCTTCATCTCTACAACAAGTTTGATGGTACAGCCGAGAGCTCTCAACTGATTTCTTTGGCAGCTGCCTTTCCTTCCCCCTTTGCAGATTGGCTTTCTTTTTCCAGGCTGCGTGAAGTGGAACAGCAGTGCAATGAGTCCTACCAGTCACTGGGAAAATCTGCTCTATCTGGTTCATCATTTTCCCCTTTGGTTTTTTAATGAGGAAAGCACAAAGAGATGAAATGATCTCCTTTCTGCAGCTAGGAGTAATGAACACATGATTACAGTAGTAGACTAACTGCCCTACTTGATTCTTTTTATTTTACAGTATTGCTTTGGCATCAAAATGTGCTTTCTATCCATCTGCTTTTTTCTTTGGAGATACAGGCAAAAGCCATGACAAAGCAAACTTCCCTCCGCATGGTTTGCAGTCGGAGCTGTCTTCCTCAAACTCCTGGCTCCGGTACAAGCTCACGTAATGAATCAAGGGATCATTCATGCCTTTTACCTGAGTGACTGGTTCGTAGGGGAATAATCTTCGTCAGGACCTGTTGATGTTGCCCGAAGTGAAAACTTGTTTTTTTCTAGGTTTCTAACACCTGACAGAAGCTCAAATATATGTAGCAGTGTATTACAGGTATTGTACAGAACAGTTTACGGCAGGGCTAAGGACTCAGCAGCTTGGTGTCAGCAGTGGTGATGGCTCCCCAGGAGCAAAAACCCATAGGCAATGCCTGCAATATAAAATTCTTGCTTAGGAGTGACATTTTTTTAATGTTTTCTAACAAAAACGTTTAAATTACCTTTGATAACTCTTGCCTATCTATCATATTCTGATCAAATGGGAGAGAAGAGGAAAAGGGAGTGAAGGTCTCAGTTCTATTCACTTCTCGTGGCTGTGACCTACAAATGGCCTGGACTGCCAGCTGCTTTTGCAAGACTACATCTTGTCTTCACTCCAGACCATGAGTCTTCTGTGAGCCTCCCTGTCAGTGCTGGAGGGGAAATCAGCAGGTCTAGAGAAGGAAATCTTTACAGAATTGATTCTTAGCGATCCTGATCATATGGTCTTAAGATGAGACATGTTTCTTCCATAGGTGATCTCTTGATCTTCCCCTTGGTCACGGGGAAAACACAGTAATGCAGTGTTACGTTCAAATGCCCTGGTGGTATTTCCATTGAAATCTTGAAGTAGAAGCCACCATCTAATTAGGAAACTAATGCTGCTGTTTATCATCCTGAAAGAAAAGAAAACAGTCCCTCCAAAGTGCTCAGACGCAAATACAATCCACCCCTGCAAACAGAGAGGTGAAAATTCCTCGTGTGATAACCACGGTGATGACTTATTCCTCCCAACAACTAGAAAAAAACTTTCAAGAAAAAATGGTCAACAGACTTTGTAATAAGTTTCCAGGAATGATCCTTCCGGAAAGGCAATCTGCACAATTAGTGCTATTTCATATTAATCATGAAAAACCAAGCAAATTCAAGGCAAGTAGAGAACACAGGAAACAGGATAAAATTTCTATATTTTCACGTAATAAAATAATTTAATGCCACAAGCCAGGAGGGCTTCCAGTGGCTTCTGCACGTAGATGTCCAGACAAGCTCGTTAACTTTATTCATTTGTTTCACGGGAGGCACTGGCTGGAGTTTTACAACCTTTCCCTCCGAGAGTAACACCAAGCAGGGCTGTGGCCGTGCCTCACCTGAGCATGCAGTGACAGTCCTTGGGACAGCTGGAGGCTGGGATGAAGGAGCCTCCTTTTGGGCAGGTAACAATTCGGTCCCCTAAGCCAAAGCTCCCAGCCTGCTGGCCCAAAATCTGCACTTTTTTCCCAGGAAAAAAAGTGCTGTTTGTGCACGTACAAGCGCACACAGCGCCTCGCTGCCTCGGGCATGATGCTGGCCCCTTGGCACCCCAACCTGCAGGGCAGGGATGTCCCTGTGCAAAGCACATCTGCTCTGGAGCATGCGCTGGCAGTGCTAAAATCCGCAGCAGCCGGAGGCCTCGGAGCACCGCAGCTAACAACAAAACTGTGCAGAGGAGAGAGGCAAAGCCAGCGCAGCATTTGGGAGATGAAAGCAGCGTGTCTGGAATGAGAGAGGCACCGAACTTCAAACAAAAGCAAACGTGTAATGTACAGTTGTCGTTACTGCAGTTGGGTACAGCTGCAGAGTGTCACATCAAATGGCTCCGCTGATTCCACATGTGTTGTCTCCATGCCCTCGCCGGAGTAAATGACGGGACAGGATACCGGCCACGGAGATCTTAGAGCACTGTCAGATAGCAGCATCAAAGCCGTCCTCCTGGAGGCTACGCCGACTTGGACATCTGGTGCGTGTGCTGGGTAACAGACTGCCTAAAGCCATTTTCTGCAAGGACTCGAAGTATGGGAATGGCTGAGAGGTGACCCAGTGAAACAGCGCACGGATGTGCTCGTGGCAAAGCTCCAGCTCGGGGCCACCAGCGCCTCAGCCTGAGATACGGATGCTAAAGACCACCTGCCAGGGCAGAAAATAGGGACCCGTGCCATCAAAGCCTGCAAATAAAATCTTAACAGTGTGAAAAGGGGCCAGGGGGCTCGGCCAGGGTGGGCAGTCAGTGGAGAAAGCACCTCTGGAACAGGGAGAGCAGCACAGCAGAGGTCTGCCAGGAGCAAGTGGCAAGTGAAAGATCTTCTTGGCAATAAGGCAAGAAGGCCCCAGCGTGTGGCCGTGCTTGGTGCTCTTCCTTATAGCTTTTTTGGGCGGTTTCACGTTTCCTTTGCAGATTTGGGCCACTCGCAGTTCCCAGTCGTGCTTGCCCAGATGTTCAGGTTGCTGGTACGTGAGCAGGTCCCTCCAGCAGCACAAGTGCCTGGACAGCGCTGCTGGAGCTGGGCTCGTGGCACACGGAGGAAGAGGAGTAAATCCTCCAGCAGGGCAGGAGGAGAGCTCTGCACAGGAGGCTCCTGGTACTTGCTGCTCCTCCCAAACCTCAGCGATGCGACGTCGCTGCAGCAGAGATGGTAATGATGATGAACGAACGGATGCGCATGGATCAGCTGCAACCAGCCCAGCAACGCCCAGCTTGAAAAGAGGAATATCTGTCCTTGAGCGAGGAGAAGAGCAGTACTAATTAGCCAAACAGGCAATCAGGCAGCCGAGCAGAACAGGATCATTCCAGAGCAGCAGAGCTGGGTGCTGGAGCTGGGCTCTGCTGCAGGCGGGCGCTGGTGGGGCTGGGCAGGGTGGCACCGTGGTGCGGGTGGGTTGGCAGCTGCTGTACCTGCTGTTTGTGTCTGCTCTCCTCCCAGGTACGAGGAGGAACCTCCGCAACGACCTGCTGGTGGCTGCCGACTCCATCACGAACACAATGTCATCGCTGGTGAAGGAGCTGCACTCGGGTAAGCGCCACCCTCCCGGCGTGTAGCTGCAGCAGGGAAGGGAGAGCTCGGCGCCACCAGCTGCAGATTTGTCCTCGGATTTATTTTTTAGAAAAACTCTATTGAAGGCATAATGCAAGATTATGTGTTCATTTTTCCAGTGATAAAAATGAAAAATCATTTTTATAGCTAACATTACCGAGAGCTCCAAATACCATCTGAATAGGATTTCCATTGATTTTATCACCGATAGTTAAGGCAATATTCTGCACATAGAAGCCTGGCTGATAGCAGCGTTGATGATTCATGAAGCAGAGTAAAATTTAGCTCCTGCACTCCTGCTCGCATTGATCTGTGCATGTGTAACAGTGGGAGCTTTCTGCAGTGCCGTGCAGGCATGTCTGGGACCACTCGCTGGTCAGAAGTGTCACTTCTGCACTCATACTTCTGAAAGTCAGCTCCTTAACAGCAAAAAGCTCACAAGTTAGCAGTCAGGGCTGATATTTGCGTGAGTCTACACAAACTGTTGCTCGGTGGCTGTGCTACTCTACCAGCAGGTGAGACTGCTCTCAAATGAATCCCCGCTAGACGCTCTAATCACAAACATACAGTAAGTGTATGTGAGTCCAATTTCAACAAAGGATTAAATGGCGCTGTGGAAAAAAAAGATAATTATTCCCTTCGTGCCTTTTCAGTGCAAGTAAACATGCTGATTGGGCTGTAGGAGCTTTTGCTGGAGTCCAAGAGCACATCCCGTGACTCTTGAGCTTTGTCAGTGATGGAGTATGAGATTATTTGGTATTCCAGCAGCCTGTTCACGTGCTGGGAGAAAGACATAAAGCATCTGCGTTCAGACCGAAATCGGGGTTTCTGTTCCACGCACACCTGGAAGGTGCCTCCCCAGCCCCTTTCCGTATCCGGTAGTTGCATCCCATAATCCCCTCCATAAACTTATCAAGCTCCATATTAAAGCTAGTTAGAGCTTTTGTTCCCACTACACTTAATGGAGAAGTCATAGTTATAAACCGGGTTGATATTTTACTGCTGAGCAGTAAATTCACCCGGCCTAAATCCTGTGTCTTGGCTGCAAAGGCAGCTGCGAGTTAATAAAGTCTTTCATGTATTACAGCAGGAATCACCAGTGCCACTGCAGTGAAAGGGCCTTGTGTTTCTTCAATAAATCACCATGCTCCGAGACGCACAGCTCTGTTCCCTCCAGGCTGAAATGCGGTGAACAAACTCGCTGCCCAAAACAGATGTCTGCAGTAATTTATTTTTTGCTTTTAATAGAAGCGCACATTTACGGGGGTATGGCTGAGATCAGTGTCTGCTCCGTGGTGCTTGTGGTGGAGGTGGAACGTCAGCTGGACCTTCCTGCCCTCCTCTGAAATCCACGAGAGCTGGGCAAACGCCAGCAGAGCGGCGTTACGCTATCAGAAACTGTTTTGGTCTCGTCAGGTGTCGTGCGACGCAGTTACGGGTCACGAGGGAGTGAAAATAAAATTAATTACAGCCTCTTCCTTGATGATAGGCAGATAATAAGGAAGGCTCCCTTGAAAGTAGCTGGGATCGCTTCGTTTGTGTAAATTAGGAAAAGCATGAGTTATCCTCAGCTGATGGGAGTCAGTGGGATTTAACACATATTGTCCAGGAGCGAAGCTGTGAGCAGAGACACCTCCTCCAGCCCGGGGCTGGCATTGTACACGAATGGTTTGTGAGACGCTGGTGCCGGCACTGCCCACACCTCCGTTTGCCTCCCCACACCTCCGTGTGAACCCCGAAACCAGAGCTTCGGAGAGGGAACACTGCTTCGGGGTGCGCGTTTCTGTGTGGGCTTCAGAGGGGCTTTGATCATCCCCAGCCTTTCTCTCCCGTGCTGATAGTCCCGCTGCTGACTAGGTGCTGACTAGGGAACAATGATGCCATTTTTACTCAGAGTGAGCTCAAAAACACACGCCTCTGATCCCCCGAGGCTGAGCGTGATGCTGCTGGAGGAGGCTCAGCCCCTGCCCTGCAGAGCTGCCGAGCAGGAGGCGAGTTCAGGACCCGATTGCTCAGCTCCTCTGGGTCACGTCTCCTTATGAAAAATGAGGTTGGTTTTGTCAGTGCTCTCCCCTCTGCTCGCAGTGAGGACTCATCGGTGGCCGTCCCCGAGTAGGCAGAGGAGGTGTGACTCCGCGGGGATCACTGCTCCTGTTATCAGAGCAGCAAAGAGAGCAAATGTTTGTGTGCCTCCCTCGTCGAGATCCACTTTGATCAGAGCAATTCAGAACGCTTCACGTTTTCAAATTGCGCCTTTTATTGCAGGGTTTTCTCCCTCTCTTTGCTCTCAGCAGCGTGTGGAGTAGGCAGAGGCGATAGCACCGCTCGTAACAACGGTTACCTGTTTACCCAGGTCTCGCTGAAATGCTGCGCACGGAGATATGAGCCACCATCCACAGAAGAATGTGACCTTCTGCTCCCGCGCTCTGCTATATAAATATGAGCCTCGCCATAAATTCTCTCCAAGTTAACTGGAATTCGATATCACGAACCGCCAGCTCGCAGGCATGAAACCAAAGCCCATCTCTCGGGGCACAGCCTCTGAGGCTTTTTGCCCCAGGGGCTCACTGAGCACCTTGCGTGGGCAAACTCTGTGATTCCAGGGGGAAACCTCCAGGGGTTTCACCTCCCATCACCACAGAACTTCCTTTTTTCTTTAGATTTGATTTTAGCCAAATATAAATTGTGATTTCCTTCCCTCTGTCCGTATGGTGCAGCCCTTTGTTCCTTACAGTGCTGAAATAAGAGTGCACGAGGGACTTCGGTCCTGGAGTGCCTGGGGAATGCAGGCACTGCCTCCAGCCAGACCCCATCCTCTATCCCCACCAGCATCAGCTGCCGAAAAGGCCAGATCCTCCTTGCCGTGGAGGAGTTCCCCCAGTGTCTGTTCTCCCACCTCCTTGTCTCACATGTGCCTTTTTATTCTTTTTGAAGCAGAGGAAGAAGATGAAGAGGAAATGGAAAAAATGCAGAACGGAAAGGATCGAGGTAAGAGGATGGATTACGGGTTCCAGGTCGTACTGCTCTCTCTGATTTCTTCACCTCTAGGAGAGCAGTTTGCTACCTCCACGTAGGGTCCCAGGAGAGGATTTTGGGTGCAGCCACCGCCGCGCCGCTGCCGCTGCTGTTACGCCACCTGCAGACACGCAGCAGGTTCGCCTTCCTGCGCCGTCCCCGCCGCCGTTCTGCACCATTGCTCCCTCCACATCTGCCACGGCTCGAGGTGACGTCCCTGCCAGCGTCTCTGCAGTGTGCATTCAGCTCCAGAGAATGTTTTTCTTTAGCAAAGGTCATGCACAGATATTTGAAACGTGTAAGAGGAGGAGGAGGAGTTGCTTCGAGGGCTGCGAAGAAATCCAGTTCGGATGAATATATTAGGGAAAAATAAAACACCGTGTGGGCTGGGTACCAGTGGAGTTACTGAGCTGTGGGACTGTCATCTGCTGAACCACTGCCTCGCCTGACCTTGGCTGGACAAATATTCAGAATTGCTCCGTTGATGATAATCCTGTGTAGGCAGCGCAACTGGCTCAATGGGGTTTCGCAGGAGGTCCCTTTCATCTCTGCTATCCCTGGATTTCAGGTCTAAGAAACTAATCCTCCCCAGACCACGCTTTCTTTGGTGTGAATGAATCCATGCCATGTGCTAGCGGAGTTATTCACAGGGCTGGAAGCGATCATCGCAGGCGTGGAACACAGCCCTGCGAGTTGCAAACAACCGTGCAGTGTATGCTTGAGTTGGAAGGGTCTGGAGGAGATCTGTTCCTCATGTCACACTCCACAAGCAAACACAAAAGCACTTCGCACAGCCCTCCTTGGGAAGAGGCCTTGCCCAAACTAGAGAGAAGAACAAAATCCTCAGCAGCCTCTGCCAAAAAGAATCTGGGAGAAAATGCTCTCCGGACCCCAAAGCCTTGCTGGGACTTGCTTCTCCGAGCAAGGGCCTTGGACAGGGACGCATCAGCCCAGACATTTGTGTCTCACTTGAGCCAAGCCTGATTTCAGCATAGACAAACTTGAACTTTTTATCCTTTTTTGTTCTGTGCATATTTTCCTTCTGGCTAAGATGAAGCGAAGGGGGCTCATATTTCACTCTCAAAGAGCTGGTTTTCCTGGCTTTTCCTGGCCAGGGAGCGAAGCATTCAGGTGTTTGGGAATGCTCTGCTTCCTGGTGGCTTGTCCATCAGTATTGGGCATTACAAGTTTGCATGAAGATAACTTTAATTTTAGCTAAAACGACGGTTTTCAAAGCAGAACTGTGTTGGCTCTAAATCACAGGACTCTCTTTGCCCTAGAACATTCCTCCTAAGTTAAATATTTGAGATGCTTAGCAGATGACCCTTCTGCTTTTTTCCAAATGTGCATTGTATCTTGCATGGGAAATAGGGAAAGGGGGATTTTGGAGAGTTGAAATGTGATGTATGGTAGCAGAGATGTGGTAAGACAAATTCTCTCCGATACTCATTGCAGCAGCATTGGAATCAGGAGAACGGAGACATACCAAAAGCAGAACTTGGCCCAAAGCATTTGTGTGGAATGTAAATATTATCTCTGCCAGAGATTAAGTGATTTTTTAATGTCACAGAGTTAGCGAGATAAAAATCTGGCAGAGAAATCAGGGAATGATCAATATATAAATTACAGCCCTCCTCTAAGTGCGTCCTCTTGAGAGGGCTGTGGAAATGCTGAGAGCACCTCCAGAAAGCAAAGTGCAGGTGGTGGTGGGGACTCCGGGGCTGGGTTTTATTGGGGCTGTGCTGGGGACTGGCATCACAGCTCGCACCACATCCCAGCTTGGTTTCATACCACCCCTTCCTGGAGCTCGTGTGTTTCCAAACCTCTGCGTGAGCGTAAACGAGGGAGCCACGGAGTCCTTGCGGGACTCTGCTGTGATGTTTCTTAGGGACAGCAGTGCCCTTGGGCATCCTCACGAGTTCCTTCACCAGGTTATTTTGGAGTTCTCCGCGTCCCAATTAATCAACCTCAGGGGCTCTTCCCCTGAACTCGCTCCCCTGCTGGAGAGGTTTACGTTCACCCACTCGGTACAGCGGTGGCGCTGGGCTGCCTGAGCAGGGTGAGGTCATTTGAGAAGACTCCAAGTTGGCTGCTTCTTCTCTGCTTATGGTTACAGATTAGGCAACCTCCCGAGAGATGTCTACATGGATTTTCAGGCACAGAAGAGCACGGCTGGAGCTGGCAATCCCCATCTGTCCGCTCACATTAGCATCACCCTGCTGCAGCTCAGCCACAGCCGCCTGCTTGGGTTGGCCCCTCCTGAAACCCTGGTGCTCCACGTGCTGTGTCTTCCATTTATGCCAGACATTGATCCTCAGAGAGGGTTTTCAGGTTGGATACCCACTCGGTGATGCTGTCCCACAGTCATTGTTTGTCATGGCTCCGACACCTCTCTCCAAGACTTTTATTGGTGACCAAGAGCTGAATCCGCGACAGCATCACCTGAAATAAGACCCTGCATGAGATGGACTCTTAATGTATTGGCCTTCTGGATTGTGTAAGCCTCAGAATGCCTAGAAAAGGGACTGATGAGATCTGATCTGCTCTGTCAAACTGCTGTAAGGAAGGGCATGGTTTGCAACCTCATGAAATTTGTTAGCCAAAAATATCCGACTGAAAATACACTGAGCAAAACTGGAGTCCCGTGCAGTCATCTGTCGCACAGAAACAGCTCCTCTAGAGAGATCCTGGATGTCGGGGCAGAGTGTGCCTTCAGCAAGCCTGCAGGTGCCCCAAACCATGAAACGGGTCAGCAAGAGCCTCCTGCAGTTCCTCCTGCAGAGCCAAACAGGAGCCAGCAAAGGGCCCTCGCCACCAAGGGGGCTGCGGCTCCGTTGGGCTGCACTGGACGAAATTTTGCAGGTCAAGGGCAAGAAAATTGAGCCAGGCTTTTCAGTGGTGCCCAGTAACAGGACAAGAGGCAACAGGCACACAACAAAATACAGAAAATTTTGTTTAAACATAATGCCTGTGAGGCTGGTCAAACTGGAAGAGGTTCCCAGAGTGGCCGTGGGGTCCCTGCCCTGGACGTGCACAAACCCTGGTGGGACCGGGCTCTGAGCACCCAGCTCTGGCTCAGGGGGCTGGTGGGGACCTTCCTCAGCCCCTTCCCACCACGATTTTGGGTTTCGGCAGCTCTGTGAGACAAGGAGCACTTTTCTTCCTTCCTTGTCCTTCAGAGGAGATTTATCCAGATGCCCGTAAAGCTCTCTGCAGCCCAGACAAGAGTCACCCATCGGAGCAGTAAGAGATGGGGAGGTTAGATTTTTCATTTTAAGGGAAATACAATTACCTGCCTGATAAATGTGTCTTTTCCCCTCTGTTGCAGGTTAGACGGATGACCACGGACTGTACAGAAATTCAGGTGAGCGTGGCTATCGTTTTTCTTTGCCATTTCCAGTAGCAGTCTCTGTGCGTGCTGCTGCAGCGCACACGGCCGAGCCCCCGGTAACCCGCTGCTTTATTTTTTTTTTTTTTGTCCTTTATTTTCTATTTCTGTGCAAGACGAGGAGCGTTCCCTGCCTGTTGCTCCACAACCATTCAAAAGGACGCTGAGTTTTTCTTGTTCTGACCCAGTTTTGCTCCTGCTGCAGACAGTGGGAGGACATCATTAGCTTCAGGGAGAGCAGAATTCCCAGCATTACCTCTCATTTTATTAGTATTACTGCTACACTCAGAGGCCCCGGCCAGGAAATAGGACCCTATTGTGATGGACACTATCCAGATGTACTAAAAATACAATCTCTACCCTCAAAGAGCCTGCACTTTACGTTATAATAAGGCACAACAGATGGACAGACAAACAGGTGCTGGGGAGCAAGAGCGAGCCCTGCGCTGACAATGCCTCTGCAGTACCTGAATAAGATCCCTATCTTGCCCCCTGAAAAGCTCGTAGGAGGGCTCCGGCTTGGGTTTCTACACTCGCATGATATTTGCCTGAGCCACAATGCTGATCTTTCACCGTTTGCAGTGGGGAGGAGGAGGTTCCTCTGGCCAAAATAATGTGGCACGGACACGCACGCAATGAGCCGGGGCTTGGGAATGGGGGAAGAGGCAGCCCGTCTGGCTGGGGCTTTTCATCTTGCACTGGAAGGCTGTAGGTGGGTTACTGGTGGAACCTGGGCAGGAGAAAGAGACTTTTATCTTTAAATTGCCATCTCAGATTCGGCCCATGAATTAGACGTGACCGATGTGCGAGTTTTTACATGACAAAACCAGCGCAGCGCTCCTCCGAAGGTAATTTGCAAAGGAGAAAAACGGGGCTTTTGCCCTTTTTTGCCTCCCTGCCGTTTTAGTAACGTATGGAGATAACCTGAAAGCGGCTCCGAGTCTCTCTGATCGTTTTTTTACATTAGAAATTCAAGTCCTGCCTTGGCTGGGAAACAATCTGGTAACTCAAGAAGGAGCGAAACTGTGCCACCAGGAAGTCAGCTATGGGGAGCTGCTTGTACCGGGTGGCTTTCTCCTAACTTTCTCCTAAATTTAGGGTCCCTTTGATTGCTGAATAGCATTTTGGAGAAGGGGGTGGCTTGGACACTGCCCACCCCTGAGCCACCAGCCTGGGGACCAGGAGCTCGCTGCTCTCACAGGTCCACCGAGGGCTGATGAGAGCTGAATTGGAGACAAATGAAAAAATAAGAAACTTCTTTCAGGGTTCCTTTATCCTCCAGAAGGAACCAGGAAAGAATATGTGTACAAAAGAACAAACCCCCCTCCAGTCACCATTAAACCCTGCTGCTTCTCCAGGTTCCTTGGCCTCTCCTTCGTGGTGCTGGGCTCGGTGGTGGGTCCACCAAACCTCCAGTGACAGAGGGGCTTGGGATGTCCCAGCACCTCCGGGGGCTCTTTCTGCAGATCTTGGCTACTCTTTTTTTTGGGGAAAAGTGCCCGGCACCAGCCTCACCTTGGCTTGCAAAGTCCGAGCTCTGCTCCCCGCGATTCTCACCCAGCGTTGTGTTTCTGTTGGCACAGGCACAGAGGGCAACACGGCGAGCTCCTCTTCGGAAGACGTCTCCGCATCCTTCGGAAGAGGCACGTTTCAGCTGATGCATCCACCATCGTGCAACTGTGAGCGATCCCAACCACCTGCTGGCGGCAGCGGCTTTCTCCTAACCAGCTGGAGGGCTTTCCCTGCGGGCATTTGCCTCTTAGGTTACTGCATGTACTATTTTCCTAAATGTCTTTACTAATCAGACAGCGCCCCATCGAACCCAGCAATTTATGGGAGGTTAAAAAAAAAAAAAGGGGGGAAAGAGAATTCTCCCTGCTCCTGCTCAGTGTCCTGATCTTTTTGGATTTCCTACCAAACGGTGTCATACTCGCATCACACGCTGGTTGTTTCCTCCCGACTTCTGACCCTCGGCATGCATGAAAAAACGGGCGTTGTGCATTTTGAGTCTCCTCGCGTGTAACACAAAGGGGATTCTGAGTGCAGACCCTCTAAAAAAAACCCGCCTTCTAAAAATACCGCTCCGTCTATCACTGTTTGGTTGCCATAGTGTTTGATGTTGCATGGCGTTCTCCGAGTAAATGACAGGGCATGTCAAGGGGAGAGGAATGCGTAACAAGAGGAGGAGCAACTGCAATTATGGGCCATAAACCCTGGGTGAGTGCCTGGCGGGGATTCCTGGCTCCATACTTTTCTCTAGACTCTTACAAAATTTCCCTTCCCAAGCAGGGAATTCAGGGACGAGCACTGCTAGGTTGCCATTAGCATCCGCGCATTAATTTTTGAGAGCCGAGTTCAGGTTTGTTTAAAATGAAGAGGAATGACAGAGTTGTGTAGTCTGAGGCTGCAGGCTCACCACCGTCTGGATCCTCGCTGGGCTTTTCTTTTATAGCTGCTTAGAAAACATCGTAATCAGTTCCAATCACCAGTGATTTTATTATTTTTTTTTCTTGGTGCTTAGGAATGTTATTTTTAGTGGAAGGAGCTGAGTGCCCTAATGCATCTATAAATATTTATCAAGGGTGATGAATGGAAAGGAGTGATAAACCCTGAAGCCAACCCTCAGCTTCTCTTCCTGTCTGAACCGATACGCTGCATCGGTTCTTGGCGCAAAGTGCTCGTTAGGTACCTACAGCCCTTGGGGAGAGAAAAAATAAACAGACATGGTGGCCGCAGATTTAGTTGAGTATAAATATTGTGAACGAGCTGTCAGAAGGAAAGAAAAGTGATGATAACCTGGTTCAGCGTGTGAGCTCCAGCCTGCCAAACACAGTGCACTTGGAAGGACTTGGAAGGTTTCGTGGTCGCCTTTGTGCGCTCTCGGCTGCGCAGTTACTGCCACGAGTCGTCTGGATGCAGCTGTGCCGACTCACGGGGATGCACATTTCGGAGTGCCCAAAATATGAGGGTTTTGCTCGTGGCCGTGCTCAGGGACCCGATGGTGTGGTGGTGCCTCCAGCAGTCCTGCGCACGCCGGGCTCCTCCTTGCGGTGCCACCGCAGGACCCCTTCCCTGTCCCCTGTCCCACCAAAAACAACCCAGTGGGGTCCACCAGGGGTTTGCATCCTCCAGGGCCACACTTCTTCCAGCGAGGCTGAGCACCTCTGAGCCTCGAGGCCAGGAGCTGGAGGCTGCAAGGGCAGTGGCGAAGGGGAGGCTCAGCCCCAGTGCTCCCAAAGGGAAGGGCAGGAGGACCTTCGGGGTGCCCGGCACGCAGCTCGGAGCTGGAAGGAAGGGATGGACGGATGGACAGCCCGCCTTCTGCAGCCATCACGGACACACATTAAACGTGAAACCTAGATTCACCGGGGACCATCATATTTGCTGCTTTTTTTTCCTATTATTACTCACCCTGCGACTTTCCCTTCTCGCTTCTGTCACCACAGTTCACCCCAAGTGAGGCCAAACTCTTGCTGCATCTGTCGCCTAATGTCACCTAACGCTGCCCTCGCTACGAGCTGATTTTTGGGGCACAGCCACACACGAGGCACATCTCCGAGCCTGAGGTCTGGCTGCCCTGGGACACGCTGGCCACCAATGCACCCACCCCTGCTGGCTGGGACACCCATGGGTGGCCTGCCCACACCCCACAGCTGTCACAGGCGCATGGGGGACACGTGTGGGAGGCAGCTGTGGGTCTGCTCCAGACCCCATCCAGCTACCCGGGGCTTTCTAGGAGGGTTTTGAACATCCAGCACTTGGCAGAGGCACTTCGGTGTCTCCCTGTGGGTCTCCACCTCTGTGGAGCACCGAGGAACCCCCTGAGATACGCTCCCACGGCTCTGCCCACGCAGCGCCGCTTGGCGCGGGGTTTGTTGCTTGCTGCCTCCTAAAGGAACAATTCCTCCAGCAGCGCTGCAGCAGGCAGCCCAGCTCCCCCAGCCCCAGCGTGAGCCCCTCGGGGACCTGCACCCTGCAAGAGTGCCAGTCCTGCAGGAGCGAGGGGCTGCACACCGGAGGACGGGGCTGTTTGCGCCCGTGGGCTGAGCGCTGCGTGCGCCGCGGTGCCTGGTCTTTGTTTGGAAACCTGACAGCTCCAGGGTGTTAGCAGGCACAGCCGGGACACGGGGGGTGTGTTTGGTGTGTGTGTGTGTTAAACGTGACCCCCTGTGCCACGGCCCTGCATTACCTCACCCGCAGTGCCATTTATTTTAGCCAGTAAAGCGTTTTAGCAGATGCTCGGTGTAATCACAACGCCGGGGCGTGCAGGTTGCTGTTCCAGGGAGGATGTCGCTGCTTTAGGAGCCCACCAGCGGGGCAGAAGGGACCCGTGTGCCGCCAGGCTGCAGGCACCCCGCTGCCACAGCACAGCCAGCAGCAGCAAACGGGCACCGGGGGCTGTCGGGAGCGACTGCAGCGCTGCCTGCGTGCGTCACGGCACAGAGGCTCCATTGCGCTCGCCCTCACCAGCCTGCTGCTGACAGCTTTGCTGTGCTGCCTGCTCGCGGGCGACGGAAACGATGCCGTGGGCATCCCACCCCGTGGTGCGTGCTGCCAAGCACCAGCGGTGACCCTGAGGAGTGCCACGGGCTCGGGGCTTGTCACCACCGTGATGCTGCAGGAGGCCACCGCCGGTGCCACCCGCTCGGACCCTGTCTGAGAAGCCTGGCAGCAGGCACTGGTCTTGCACTGGGATGGGGAGTGCCACAGGTGGGTCCATCTGAGCCCGTAGAGCACCAGGACACACGCTGCTGCTGGCTGTGAGCAGGACCCGTGCAAGGCAGCAGGATGCCTGTGAGTGGTTGGCACTCCAGCGATGCCAGGCGCTTCCCCTGGTGACATTCTGGGGCTTCGTGTAGGGAAACCAAACCACCCGAGCTTGCTTGTGGTCGACTCTGAAAACTGTGTGTGAGCTATTGCTTGCCTTGGGAATAATCGCCTTAAACCCCACGGGAGGAACGGTTCAGGCCAGGCTTTAATGTATTCCCCCAGGCTGTATCCTCTGGTGTTACAGCTCCAGGGTGTGCCCATTCCCCTGCTGAGGACATTTTCATCTTGCTGGAGGAAAAGTTTGCTCCTGAGCCGCTTGAGGTGGCCCTGGTGGGGTACCCAGGACGTGGTGTTTTGGGATCAGCCCCGTGGAGCTGTGGCCGCGCACCCAGCACTGCACCTGGTGAGCTCTGCTGCCTCTGGACGTGCTGCCTTGGTCCTGTGCTGGCCCTGCACCGCCAGCCCAGAGCCTTTCCTTTCAAATCCGGGGGTTGTTTTTACAGCTGGATGGTCATTTTTTTGCCTGGACGCAGCAGTGAGGGTCATGAGCAAAGCCAGGGCTGGGTGCGGCACGGACAGGGAGCCCTGGGGGGGGGACAGGGTCTGCTGCAGCCAAACCCTGGGGATGGGGTGTTGATATTTGCTGATTGCTCTCAGGTGATTTCTGCCCCTTTCTGTGCTTTAATTTCCTCACTGTCACTGCCCACAATGCCTGTTTTCGCCCGAGGAGCAGCGTACAAAACGTGTGGTTTGGAAACCACTTCCTTCTCCGCATCGCCCTCTTTTTCCTCGGGGATTGCTCCGGTTCCAGGGGGAGCGGCCACCCCGAGCCCGTGCTCTGCAAGCTGCTGGGTTTGGCAGCTCGGTGGGTGCACTCGTGTCCCGTGGGGACGTGCAGGGGGTGGCACCGGGTGGCACCTGCCCTGCAGGGTGTGCGGCTCCCCCGTGGGGACGCTGGAAGCCCCCCGGCATCGCGGCGTGCACACAGACAGAGAAACCCCCGGAGACCACCAGGTGGGAATCCTCACTGCTCCAGGTTTAAACCAAGCTTTGCAGCTTTTCTGAGGGGAAAAAAAAAAAAAAAAAAAAAGAAGCAGGAAGCCATTACCAAATGTTTTCTCATGGGAAAGTGTGCCGCGTCCCTCGTGCCACAAGTCCTGTCGGGGGCTGCAGAAGGAAGAAGCTGGCGCTGGCGATTTCTGCAGCCCCTCCACGTGTGTGGGTTCGGAGCATCTCCAGCTGTGCTGAGTCCTTGCTGCCTTGGGGACGTGGCTGTGGTTCTGGGACGTGGCCAGCGCTGCCCCCCACCTCCCCAATGGGGTTGGGGACCCAGCCCTGGCACCCAGCGCGTCCACGTGCGTGGCTGGAGCGGGAGCGTTTCACAAGCACGTGTTGGAGAAGATGCTGTAAGTGATGGGAATGTCTCTGGTAGGAACCTGTAAACTGGAAGCCATGTTCTGTCGTCTGCCAAATATTTAATAAATTCATCTCATCCCTAAGGGGTGTCTTGTCCCTTCACCATGCGAGAAAAAGTGGAAACGTTCCTGGAAAAGCCAAAAAAAAAAAAAAGGAGAGATTTTAGTAGGAAATTGCTGCTCCAAACCACGGCATGGTATGAAAGCAGCTGCCAACACTTAGCTGTGTATTTATATGAAATAGCAGAGCCGGGGATTATCCGCATTTGTCATGGGTGCAGGTCACTGCAAGCAGACAGAGCTGCCTGTGTTCGGGGCCGCATCTGTGCCATGGGTCCGGCGCCGGCGGCGCAGCCCTGCCAGATGTTCCTCCCGGCACAAATTCTGCACCGCTCAGCACATCTGGCCGCAGCAGCCAGGGCAGGTTTTGGAGGACGGAAAGAAGAAGAATCGGGGCAAGTGCACACACCTCGAGCCTCCATCTCCTCCTAATGCAGTGCCAAAAAATTCTGTGTTTTTTTTTTTTTCTGCGCCTTTTGGGTAGCGGGGACAAAAACCCAGCAGAGAGGGCTCCGGGCTGCCACGCACACGGGGCTGTTGTCCCGTTGGTTCCCCAAAAAGTGGTGCCGGTACCTGCTGCCCCCAGGGTGGGGGCTCATTCCCCATCCCACCCCGATGTGTCCCTGCTGCCATGGCCGTGGCTCCGCCGCCGGCCCGCGGCCAGAGGAAACCTTAAACCCCAGGAATCCGTGGCTTTACGGGCACAGGTGCATCCCCTCCGCTCCCTGGCACAGCTCCAGGCGCTCGTTTGCTTTAGGGATTAGTGGGAAAGATGCCACCCCCTCCCCTGCCAGGGGGGCTGCTGCTGGGCTCAGGGGGCTTCGTGCTGCTCGCAGCCCCGTGTGAGCAAGGGCAGCTGGTGCCCAGCGCAGGGAAACGCCAAGCAGGGGGTCCTGGGGGGGCTGCAAGCACAGAGCATCCCCTCCTGCAGCCCCGACCTGAATATTCATCCTCCACTCCCTCCCCGGCCGTGCTGGAGCTCCAGCTTCTCTAATCACACCCTGCAGCAGCCCTTCCTGCTTCCTAATTGCAGCACGAGGGACCCTCTTACCGCAAAGTCCTTCTAAGGAAATAAATTGGAAAAACCCAGAAGAGCCCCCGGGCTCTGCAGGGGCACAGGGCGAGTGCTGCAGGCCCCGCTCCGCTGCTCCGGCACTGGCACCAGCAATCAGCACATGTGATTAACACGAGGTGATTAACACGAGGTGATTAACACCAGGTGGTGATGCCTGCACCCGGGGGCAGCGGCTCGCCCCGGTGCATCTCCCACAGCCACCGGGACCACCGGGACGGGGCTTTGGGGTGCCACCGGGGCTCCCACGGGGTGCCCAGGAGGGGACCTGCGCCCGTCCTCGCAGCGCACGGGCACGGTGCTCTGCGCCTGGAGCACGCTCGGCCACGCGTTCGTGCACACTCCCAGCTTGCTCACACGCGTGTGCACGCTCCCATGCACACGTGGGCACGGTCCTGGCGCAGTTGTGCCTCTGTGCACACCCGGGCACCACCGCGTGCGCGTACCCACACGCACACAGGTGCGCAAATCGTCACGGGTGCAGAATTTGGTTTGAGCAGCCCCCAGCAGAAGCCTCGGCCGCTCCCAACACAGCCACCAGCACCCAGGGACCGGCTGGGGAGGGGCTCGGGAGGGTCCCCCCCACCCTGTCCCCACCCTGACCCCTTTGGGAGGGTCCCCCCCGCACCCTGACCCCTTCCTGAGGGGGCTTCGGGTGCTGTGCCAAAGGGACGTGGGTGCTGTGCGGGGGCTCAGGACCCCTCTGCAGGCTGCAGGGTCCCCATCCGCTGGCCTCAGCCCCTGCCCCCTCCCTGCCCCCCCTGTTTATTCTCTCGGTGATAATATCTTCATGCCTCGTTAGCGCTGTATTAAACCCAATTACCCCCAGCCCAGAGGAGGGGGTGGGTTCCTGCTCTGCAGGCACAGCGCAAGGGCTGAGCCCTGTGGGGACCCTGAGGGCTCTCGGGGGCACCATGGAGCCTGCAGGGCCCCCGTGCACCCCACAAATGGGCTCAGGATTGGGGACCCTGTGCCAGAACCCCCTGTCTAGCACTGGGAAAGACCCCAAACCCCTGCCCGTGGAGCCCACCCCACTGCCGTGCCCCCAAACTGCACGGGGTCCTGCACCCTGCAGTGACCCCAGGTCCCTCCTGTTGTCCTCATGGGCACCCAACACCATGCAAGGGCTGGGAATGGGGTCCCTGCTCCCACCCCAGACCCCCCCTTGGCCCCTGCACAGGGCCCTGCTGTGGTCTCCATCCTCCTGGAACCACAGGGGGGTCCTTGGGGGGGGACACTTGTGCCACCGCCACCCCCTCCCCACTATGGGGCAGCCCCACAGCTCGCCCCCCCGGCACAGCAGCAGGGCAGGGGGGGGGTCTCCGGGCTCCCCCCGCCACGGGGTCGGGCGACCTCCATGTAAGCGCTCTGACCCCGGGGCTCGGGGGCTGGGATTTCTCCTCATTTGCACCGTTTAATGGCCACCCTGGGCTGCGGTGGGGCTGGGGCTCCATCCATCACCGGAAAATTAATTCCTCTGCCACTCACCGCCACAGGCTGTGAGCCGGGGCCCTTCCCCTGTGCTTCCTCCCCAGCCCTCCTCCTCCTCCTCCTCCTCCTCCTCCTCTGCCCCGCACCCTGGGCAGCCAAATTAATGATTGCTGGGGCAGGAATGGGGAGCGCCCGCCGGGGTTATCGGTGGGCGAGCGCAGGGCAAACACCCAAAGGGGTGGGGGCAGCTGCAGGTGCGGGGGCGCCAGGGCACGGTGCTGGTGCTGGGGGGGGGGTCCCATTCCCCTGCCCCCCACCATGGGGCTGCAGGGACCTGGGCTGGGAGGCAGCGTCACCCCAGTGGGCAAATGGGGACCGAGCTGGTCCCCAGGGGGGTCACGGCCACCGTGCCCCCCTCTCCAAAGGTGCTCACGTCCCTGCCCTCATCCTGCTGGCAGAGGGGCAGAGGTGACATTTGGGTGCCCTGGGAGGGGTCTGGGGGCGCCCGGTGCCTCCGTGCAGGCTGTGCAGCTACACACAGCCGGGGAAATTTGGGACTGGCTCAGCACAGCTCGGCCTGGGTGAGCCCCCGGGGGGTGCTGCAGGGTGCCACAAGCCCCGGTGGCAATTTGGGACGTGGCTCGGGGTGACACGGCCCCACTGGGGGTGTCTCCAAGCTCTTTCCAGCATCCTTCTGCAGACACAACGCCTGACAGGGGGGCATCCAGGCGAGGGTCTGGGACGTGCAGGGTCCATCCTGGCCACCCCCTGACACACTCTGGGACACCAGCACCCTCCTCGCTGGGTGCAGGGGGTGCAGGGGGGGGCTCAGGGGGCCAGGAGCAGCGGTGTGGAAGCAGCATCAGTGCCACCGCAGCTCCAGCAGGAGCATCCCAGCAGATCCCCCCCAAACGTGTGCGCAGAAATTCAGCAGCGGTTGCGTAACGAGGAGCCAGCGGTCGTGGAAACAAGGTCAGGAGCGAGGGCTGCAGGGCCCCGGGCTGCTGCAGCGGGGGCTCGGGGCATGGGGACGCTGCTGCAGCCAGCCCAGCACGGCACCGGGACATGGCACAGCACCGGGACATGGCACAGCACCGGGACATGGCACAGCACCGGGACATGGCACAGCACCGGGATGTGGCACAGCACAGCACATCATGGCACAGCCGTGCCACGGCAGAAGCAGCGCTGCGATGCTAAATTCTGACACAGATGTGGCTCCCAGGGGGGGTCAGGTTTGGGAATGGGGGCACCGGCTCCATCCCCCTGCACCACGGCTGGCACAGGCTCGCATTGAGGGTGATGCTCACCGGGGCTGGCACAGTCGGGATCCCCACTCCACCAGCACCCTGCCTCCCCCTCTGGCACATCCTCCATCTGCTGCCCCCGTTCCTACAGCAGCACCCAGAACAGGCAGCCCCAAAACCCCCCAGGGGCGAGGTGGTTCCTGGGGGCACCCTTCCTGCCTGCCTGCATCCATCGGGGAGCAGGGGGCACCGCGGGGGCTCAGCTCTGCCCCTTCCCATGGGCTTCCCCTCCCTCCAGCACTGCTGCAGATGCTCTCCAGGGATGCTCAGCCCAGAGGCGAGCGCTTCGCAGAGCCTGCGAGGTCTCTGGGCTGACAGAAGCCAGGGGGGGGGGGACGCCCACTGCTCCCACACCAGCCCGGCACGCCTGGCAGCTGCAGCGGCGCGTGACGCTCCCCGCGCAGCGCCTGCCTCAGCCGCTGCCCCCTCGGCGCAGGCAGCGCTGACTAAACGGGCTGACCGTGTGTCACCGGCTTAATTTGGCACCCGCCCTCTCGGCGAGATTTCATTAATCCAATCCCCGCGCCCGAGCCCCCGGAGGGAGCTGCCTCTGAAATTGGCACCTGTCACGGGGAACGTCGTCGTGCCACCGCTCCGCTCGGTGACGAGGCTGCGCTGCTGGGGTGGGGATGGGGATGGGGACAGGGATGGGGATGGGGATGGGGACGGGGGTGGGCACCGCACCCCTGCTAGGGCCATGGGAGGACAGAGCCATGCCCCAGGCCCACCAGGAGCCTCTCTGAGCCCAAAGAAGCCCGCAGCAGGCAGCGGCACCGCTGGGTCGGGCGCGTCCTGTCCCCGCTGCTCCATCCTGCGGGACGGGAGATTTATGGCCCAGAGGAAACTTCTTGCCAGGAGCCTGCTGCCCTCCTCCAGCCGGCTCTGACCTCTCCTGTCACACCGAGATTTAAGCCCGGGATAATTGCACCTATTAGCCTAAACCAAGCTGCTGGGCTGGGAGCAGCGGTGGCTGCTGAGGGAGCCCCGCGGGGCCGGCGGCGTGGTGCGGGTGGGCTGCACGGCACCAGCTGCACACCCCCGGGGCTGGGCTGAGCCCTGAGCCCCCAGCAGGGATGGGGTGAGCTGGGAGCACGCCTGGCCCAGCCCTGCTGCTGGTGATGTGATGGGAGAGCTGTGGGACACTGCTGGGACCGGGCAGGGGCACGGAGATGTCTCCATGCGGCACACCAGAGCCACCGGGCATCCCAAGGGGGCTCAAGGGCTGCAAAATGCCCTCGGTGGTGCAAGGCACAGACCAGGGCAAGGCATGGAAGGGACACGAGCTGCTCCTTCCGTGGTCTGTGGGGTCAATGCGATGGGTTCCAAGAGCCTGGTGCCCCCCAGCAGGGTCTCTGCCAGGCCGAGGTGTGCGCCCCTGGCCCACGGCCGCACGCCTGGCCCCGTCCTGCTGCTGCCAGGGAAATGCAGGGTGGCTGTGATGGAGCACCGAGACCCAGCATGGGACAATGATGACCCCTGGCCTTCCTCCTCCTCCTCCTCCTCCTCCCCTGGGCTTCCAGCAGCACCCCCCTGCCAGCCTTGCACCGTGCCGCAGCAGAAGAGCTGCTCCATCAGTACCCAGGGTTGGTTCCACATCACCGCCAGGGTTTGTTTGTTCCCGGTGTGCTTCAGTTCCCTTTATTGTCCTCCTCGTGCTGCCCAGAGGCTCTTCCTCGATGCTTTTAGTATCCCTTATCAATTTTCCGTGTGCTGAGTCCAGTCCCGTGACATTCAGCAAGGTGCCAGGGGCTGCCCGTGGGGCACAACAACCCCTCGCAGCGGTACGGGCTCGGGGAAGAGGGGTTGGAAAGGTGCCTGGTGGAAAAGGAATTGGGGATGATGGTTTACAGCCTGCTGAGCACGAGCCCATAGAAATAATGTGGCCAGCAGGACCAGGGAAGTGAGAGTCCCCTGTACTTGGCACTGGTGAGGCTGCACCTCAAATATTGTGGTCAGATTTGGGCCCCTCCCTACAAGAAGGACATTGAGGTGCTTGGCTGAGCACAGAGAAGAGCGATAAAGCTGGTGAAGGGACTGGAAAACAGGACTTAGGAGGGACCTGAGGTGGTTTAGTTTGGAGAAGAGGGGGCTGAGGGGACACCTCACCATTCTCTACAGCTACCTGAAGGAGGTGATGGTGAGGGTGGTGTTGGTCTCTTTTCTCAGGCAACAAGTGGTAAGATGTGAGGAAACAGTCCCAGCTTGTGCCAGGGGAGGCTGAGAGTGGCTATCAGGAGGAATTTCTTCAAGTAAGGGGTCGTGAGGCACAGGAATGAGCTGCTGAGGGTGGAGGCCCCATCCCTGGAGGCTTGGAGAGCCGCGGGGACGTGGCTCTGAGGGACGTGGCTCAGCGGTGGGACTCAGCAGGTGGGGCTGATGGGGGACGTGGTGGCCCTGAAGGCCTCTTCCAGCCTCGGTGACTCCCTGACTGTGGTTGTGCACAGCTTCCACAGCTCCCCATGGAGCCTGAACGCTCCACGGCACCTTCAGCGCCTTCCCCTTCCCCACCAGCAAACGCCACCCCCCTGCCACCGAGCCTGGCTGGGGGGCTGCTGGCACACACACACACATAAAAACACACAAAAACACATAAAAACACACAAAAACACA